ATCAGAAACAATTTAGATTCAGTTCTTTCATCAGGATTGCATTTCTTCTGCTATGTCAGCCAGCAGCCTCTCACTGGCCCTTGACTTGCCCGCCCGTGATGTGTGCCTGGCCAAGTGCACAAGTCCACTGCACGCCGAGCTGTATTTCTTTTATTTTTAAATTGGTTTGCATACAATCATTCATACGCACTCAAGTGTTCCGTTCATGTATATTGTGTTTTATCTATTTATAATTGTTCCATGTCTTCTATCACCCCATCCCATCGAGTCCCAGGGAGCTCTGGTGGCTTAGTGGTAAGGAATTGTGCTGCCAACACTAAGGTACAGGGTTTGAATCCACTGGCTGCCTCGTGGGAGAGAGATGAGGAATTTCCTCCCGTGGGATTTACAGCCTCTGAAAACCCACCGGAGCGTCAGGTATGGGTTGGTTCTGACTCGCTGATGTAACAAATTCCCACTGGGCTTTGGCTAATCCTTCATCCCTCCCATAGGAACACCTGGATTCAAGAACTCTCTGGATATTTAATGTTTCTTTACAAGGTGCTCAGAGACAAAATTCGACCCTATACAAATGCATTTTTATCACGTCCTAGTGGATCTCCTCTCCTTTTGCCCCCCTGCTCCCTCCCCCGCGTCTTTTGAACAGTTGTACGTATCCTGTTCTTATCTGCCAACTGCAGTGGCCACACTGTCCTTTACTCATCCTTCCCAGGCTGAGCCTCTCTTGTCTGGCCCTCTACAGCGTTCACTGTCTGCACAGTCCCTTTCTCTCTCTCCACGCCCTCCCACCCCTCAGTTACCCTCCTACTCTCCCAGGAGCGGTCCTAGGCACTAGCTGTCCTTGAGGGTTGGATACTTTTTAAGAAGTAGATTGTCAGGCTTTGGGTGGATTTGAACCTACAACTGTGCAGTCGGTAGCCAAACAAGTTAATCACTTGTACCACCCAGGCGCTCAGGACCGCGGGAAGGCCGCTCCATGGCGGCTGCATGATTTTCTTTCCCTGAAACTGGTACTGTTGCTGTCACGCTAGCTCAGATTCACGACAACAGGTGATCACATCTGGATCAGAGGGACCCCCCCAATCGTCACTGGCTGATTTTTCACAAGGAGACTGCAAGGTCTTTCCTCCTACAATCGTTACTGTGCTCCCCAATGCTTCACATGGGCATGAAGACTGGCCAATAATTAGGAAGACCAAACAAAAATGGAGAGTTTTCCAAACTACTGAATATACAACGGACTGCCAGAAGGACAGACAGATGTCTCCTAGAGGAAGTGCAGCCGGGGTGCTCCTTAGAGCAAGAAGGGGAGGATTTCGTCCCACATACTCTGGGCAAGGCGTCAGGAGGGGCCAGCCCCCGGAGGAAGACGTCACGCTTGGTAAGGGAGAGGGTCAGAGGTGACTGAGCACCTCGAGATGGACTGACAGTAACCACACAAGCAGAGCAGACTGTGGGGTCGGCCCTGATCTGGGGGTTTCAGTGTTTCCACACACTGACTGGGTCAATATGCGTCGGTGACCTTGACAGCACCTACAGGAACCTTTCTTTAAAGACCAGACTTGGGGCTGAATCTTCACTTCGCTGACCTCGTAATAATCACCTTTAAGGCCCGTCCCCAAATGTGTTCTCCCTTTAACTGCCTGCACAGTAATCCACACAACAGGAGGCCTCGCAGAAAAGAGCCCCCAGCAATCAGAAAGGCATCAGACCCACACAGTGACCAGGCACAGTCCCAGACTGTGTTAAGGGGCTCATGCACTTGGGGTCACACCCTTTGGGAAGGCTGGCTGGCTCTGGACAATATGAGACCCAGGTTTGCATCCCTGCTTCACTGTCCTGCAAGGTGAATGACACGGGTTCAATTCCCTACTCTGTAAACCAGAGCAAACACGGGCTACCCAATCACCTCCACCTCCTCCGTGCCTCTTTCCCCTGCCCACCACCTCCCCGCCCCCTCTACACCTCCTCTCCCACTCCACACACCTCACCTCCCCTTCCACACTTTCTCTCCCCCTCCAACACCTCCTTCCCCCACACACCTCCTCTTCCCCTCCACACCTCC